CAACAGTTGTTAAGCACTTTCAATTTATAAATGCACCTATGTAAAAATATTTTCATTACTTTGTTCCAAATATTTAGATTACTAGTGAAAGTTTTATCTCTATAATTTGTCAAAAAATAGCTTCGCTCTCCTTGTTTTTATCATTTGTACAATGTAAAAAATCCATTATTGTTCAGTAATTATTTATATTTCTACTAAAAATATGCTATCATTCTAATATAATAGGTGACCCCCCCAAAAAAAGAATAAAGAAGCAAAATAAGGTAAAGAAGTTAAACTTTTTTTTTTTTTTTTTTGAACCGAGTCTGGGCTCTGTGGCCAGGCGTGGAGTGCAGTGAACGCGATCTCAGGCTCACGCAAAGCTCCAGCTCCCGGGTCCACCATTCTCTGCCCAGCCTTTCCGTCCGAAGACTGGACTACAGCGGCCCACCCAACGCCCCGGGCTAATTTTTGATTTATAGAGATGGGTTTCACTTGTAAGCAGAGGCTCGATCTCCTACTCATGACGCCACGTCTCGCCTCCCCAAGTGCTGGGATACAGGCTTTGAGCCACCCCGCCCAAGGCCTAAGAAATTAAACTTATATCAGTAAAACGGTGATGTAGAGCAGTGTCGTTTTTTTTAAACAAACATATTTACCACTACCTTTTCATCGTAGTGAGAACATTGAGTTTTGGTTGTGTGTCCCTTCTTTGCCCAGGCTCCTGTTTTTTTTTTTTTTTTCTTTTTGAGCTCAGTATTTTAGTTTTATTTTTAACTGTAATTTCTTATTATACTTTAAAGTTCTTAGGTACATGCCAATCCGGTTGTTACCATATGTAATACATGCTGCCATGCGTGGTGCTGCACCCCATTAACTCGTCATTTAACATTAAGTTATCTCGTTTCTTCCCCTCCCCACCCCACAACAGCCCCACGTGTGTGGATGTCTCCTGTTGTCCCCATGTGTTTCCCATTGGTTCAATTCCCAACCCTATGATGAGAACATGGTGTGTTTCCTGTTCTGCGATATTTCAGAAATGAGGTTTCCCAGCCTGCCCCATCCATGTCCCTACAAAAGGACCACTGAACCTCATCTTTTATGCTGCATAGTATTCCATAGGCATATGAACCAACATTTCCTTAATCCAGTCGTCATTTAATGACCATTTGGGGTTTCAAGCCTTTGCTATCAGGAAATAATGCCCCGCATTAAACATATGCTGGGCGGGTCCTTAGAGCAGCATGATTATGATCCGTTGGGGTAAACCCAGATAATGGGGATGGCTGGTCAAAGGTATTTCTAGTTCAGATCCCTTGGAGGAATCGCCACACTGTCTTCCAACAATGTTGAACTATTTACAGTCCCAGCAGACCAATAACACTACCAGAACTCAACACCCCAATCAGCAGAAATCCATTCTTCCAGCACCATACACACTTATCCAAAATGACCTATAGTTGAAGTAAGCACTCCTCGCAAATGTAAAGAACAGAAATTAATAACAAACTTACTTCAACCATGTGGCAATCAACTAAACTCAGATTAAGAACATCAAAACCGTCAACTATAAGGAACTGAACACCTGGCCTCCTGAATACCTACAGGGGTTATTATGAAAATTGAAGGCAGAAAAAATGTCCGTTGAAACCATGAGAACAAAGATACAACATACCAGAATCTCGGGAACACATTTAAGCCAGTGTGTCAGGGAAATTTACAGCCACAAATGCCCCACAGAGAAACAAGGAAAGATCTAAAATTTGACAACCACTAAATCCACAATAAAAGAACAGAGAAGCAGGGAACACATTCAAAGCAGCAAGCAGGAAATAAACTAAAAGCAGAGGCAGGAACTGAAGGGAGTAGAGATAAAAGACCCTCCTTCAAAAAATCAATGATCCAGGACGCTGGTTTTTTTGAAGACGATCAGCAAATTGATGAGATCACTAGCAGACCTAATAAGAAGAAAAAGAAGAATAACAAATCGATGCAATAAAAGATGATAAGGAGGATACACCAGCTGACGCCCCACAGAATACAAACACTATCAGAGAATACTATAAACACCTCTACGAATTAAACTAGAAAACCTAGAAGAAATGGATAAATGCCTGGACACTTTTAAAGTTCATTAACATTTATTGTTAAGTTCTGAGCAGGGCTTTGAAGTTTTAAAGATGACTCAAAAAATAGCTAGCCTTAAGTTTTTTGCTGACTAGTGGGGGATGCAGACACTTAAGAAATCATTTTGGTAGGATTTTTAAGGTGTTAAGTATTAAAATTACCTTGTTTCTTGCAAATTATTTCCCATTTTAGAAAATGGTAATTCCATCCTTCCAGTTACTCTGGTCATCCTTGACTCCTCTCTTTCATATTCCCACATTCAAACTGTGGGTAAATTCTGATGACTCCACCCCGAAATGCATACAGAATCTGATCACTTCTAAGTAACTTCACGTCTACTCTTCAGCCTAATCCACTGTCATCTATCTAGATTATTAAATAAAATCCAGTCTGTTTTCTCTGCTTCCACACTTGCACCCTTTATTTTTAACCTGGCAGCTGTAATGCTATTAAAATACAAATCTGACCATATCACTTATGAAAAATCTGCCAATTGCTTTACATCTTACTTGAGTAGAAATGAAAGTCCTGAGAGTGGCTGTCGAGTTCCGTCAAGACCTTTTACCCCTCTGAGCCTTTCTCCATTCCTCCCCAGCCTCTTTACTAGGCACACTGCTTTTTTGCCTCTTTGAACTCAACGTGCTCACAGCGCACTCGCCCCTTCTTTTCTTGTCTCTATCAGTACTTTACTCAAAAGTTATTTTCTCAGTGAGGCTTTTTTTTCGGTATATCCTTATTTAGAACTGCAATCCTCACAACCCCCCATCTCCTGCTTATTCTACTTTCTGATTTTTTTCTCTATAGCACTTCCTGCCATGACATGATATCTACCTTATATTTTGTTGTTTGGTTTCCCTGACTTGAAGGTAACCTTCATGAAGGCAATGTCTTTTTGTTGTTGTTGTTTTGTTTTATTTGATTCACTGCCTTTTCCCTACCACTTGGTGCAGTGCTGGATACATAGTAGTTGCTCAATAAGTAACTGCTGAATTAATGACTTTTCTTTCAGAAGTGCTCTCTGAACCTCTAAGGCAAACTGGCATTCTCTCTCTCTCGGTGTCTATAAAAATTATTACAAATATAAAATGTATTTGTTTTCTTTGTTTTCATATCTGGCTGCATGACTGGACTTCAAGTTTAACAACAGGGACAGGGACAGCTACTTACAAAGCTACTTACATGAGCCTCTTCTAAATGCAGGTTGCATGCCCCTAAAGTCAGCCCTGCATATCTTTTCATTTTCATATCCCAATAATTAGCAATGTCACTGGTGAATATATTGTACGTTCTCCATAAATGCTTGTTGACGGAATGCATACATCCTTATCTAGAAGAATTTTAAAATATTCTACTTATATAATACCATCTCAAAATAATCCTGATTTTTGAAGCATAATTAAAAGGGAGAGCCTGAAGCAAGTTAAATGTGTTTGTGTAAGTGATATAACCATTTGAAGGGAAAGTCAGAATTAGGTGTTATCTTAGGTTCTAATTCACTGTTTCACTTCTGATCCAGATTAATTTTTAGGCCTTTCCAAATGTTCTATCTCAGATTTTAAAAAAAACAAGATTAAGAAGAGAAGCATGATTCCGACCTAGTCTATTTCATTTTGCCAAATAAGCAGTTATTATATTCAAGGTATAAAACAGCTTCCTTCAAAACAATATTCCCTAGAATCATAAAGGTGATTGATTCAGTCAGTGGTACATACAATTTTTGAATTAACTCTATTAACTATAAATAGGCAATCTACTATATAGAGACTTTTTGATGTAAAATCAAATGACCTATAATATTTATTTGATTAACAATAGTTTGGTTTTCAGTTCCTAAGAGAGAGCTTTTTGCTGTCAGTGTGTTCTTTTTTTTTTATTTTTTTATTCATTTATTTTATTTTTTTTATTTTTATTTTTGTCAGTGTGTTCTTGTGACATACTTTAGAGAAAACAGAACTTTGAAGATGAGTTTTAAACCTCAACAGAATATTTCCCAAAGAATAGAAGGTGTATCTACTTGACATATCTGAACCTACAGAAGGTTAGATTGAGGAAAATGGTTATTGTATTTTCTTTTGTGCCGACATTAAAAACTCCACAAGTCTCTGAAACCTTCGCTGTTCTAAATACATGGATGAAAAGAGATACGATTGAATTTGTAAATGAGAGTGAGTTTTCTATAGGAGTTGGAGCAATGCAGGATCTTCAGTTAATCTATCTTTTCTTCATGTCCTCAAGGTCAAGACAGCCTTTTGCTATTAAGGACAACAATAATAGTATCTCACATCTGTATAGCACTTTTTACTTTTCAAAGAATTTATTTTTCTCACAGAATCATTGTTAGGAAAATAGGACAGATAGATTATTTTTATATCCTTCAGAGAGTTGTATACACATGCATTGAATAAAATTTCAGGAAAAAGAGAAGAAAAATGAGCTAGTAAAGAGTATGGGATTTCAGTATTTAGAATGGATTATTTTTACTACAGTTAAAACTGCACTGTTATTTTAATATTGTGTTATTGCCATAAAAGTATAACCAAGCCTCTAATTTTAGGTTTATTATCCACTTGCAAACATTATCAGGAAAGACAGATAAATGATTTAGTACAGATGTCAGTGTCATGAAGATTTAGTACAGACGTTAGTGTCATAAAAGATTTTTCTTTGAAATGTCCTATAAAATCAGTATTATTTTCTTAAGATCTGCAAATAAAAGGTACATGATATGATTGATTACTTAATTAGTATTTTCTGAACATCATATAGGTATTTTCTCCACAAAAGAAACTCATAACATATGGCAATACTTTTGAATTTGGTATGTACGATTATACCCTTTAAATTCCGGTGAACTTCTGAACTGTAGAATTTAATATTTTGAAAAACAAAATTAAATAATTTCATGAATGTTTTATTATAATCAGTAATTCGGTATTATATAATCAATAATTTGAATAGATCTGTTATTTAATAAAATTCAAAACATTTTTGGAATAAAATAATATAATGTGATTATTTTAAGAATTAACTGGTTGTTTCTTCTGAACAAATTGAAATCCAAAGGTCACGTTTCTGCATGGATTATATTCTTGATGTGTCTGAAGAAACAAACTGTTAATGAGACTTGGAAAACCTGGAAGAAAAATGAACAAGAAGAGATCAAAATTTAATCAATGATAAGAGTAATTTATAAAGTTAACACTATATAGTCAGCAAAATGCATATTGTAAAGGGAAAAGGAATCAAAACCGGTGAGAAAATTTCAGAATAAGGTACATACAGTTGTGAATAGGAAGTCTGCAAAATGAGTCTTCAAGAATAACCCACCTGTTAGCAAGTTCATGTATAGAGGAGAATAAGGAAAAACCTTTAGGTTTTAATTACATTAGCTATCACTGAGCTAGATGCCTTGACAAACTGCTGATGGTTTTCTTGTTGTTGTTGTTTGATAGCTTTCTAACTATGTCATTAAATCTACAAAACTGCTTCTTTTTGTTATAGACAATGAAAGGTGGTTTGTAAAGGGTAGAAGATAAAATGCAGTGGGGATATTATCCTCTCCATTTTTGTCTTAAAATTTTCCAGCATGAACGCGATAGAGAATAAACATTTAGAAACAATGATATTAATGTGTATAAAGAATGTCTTGGTTTACTACCATTCTGAGACTAAAATTGTTACCAATTGAAGAGATGAAAACTTAGATGGGGGGCTTCATAGATCAATGCAAAGTCAAATGCAAAATCCTTATCCTATCTTTCAAAAAATGCATTATGTATTTGTTTTAGTGGCATAGTCCTCATTATAACACTATATTTGCTCTCACAGTTTCTTTGAATCCATAGGCTGCACTTATTCTTTTTTTTTTTTTTTATTGAGACGGAGTCTTGCTGTGTCCCAGGCTGGAGTGCAGTGGCTGGATTTCGGCTCACTGCAAGCCCCGCCTCCCGAGTTCATACCATTCTCCTGCCTCAGCCTCCCGAGTAGCTGGGACTACAGGCGCCCGCCACCTCGCCTGGCTAATTTTTTTTGTATTTTAGTAGAGACGGGGTTTCACCGTGTTAGCCAGGATGGTCTGGATCTCCTGACCTCGTGATCCACCCACCTCGGCCTCCCAAAGTGCTGGGATTACAGGCGTGAGCCACCGCGCCCCGCCGGCTGCACTTATTCTCAATAGTCTTCACTGAGACTGGAGAATAGTGTCTTGTTTCTGAAACCTAATTTTGCAGTTGACCCCTTTAGGTCATGGAATTTGTCTATTTTGTATCTCACTGTATATTCGACATCTACTATAGTACGTGACACACAGTAAATGCCCCCCTCCCTCCAAATACATTGAATTAATGAATATGTGAGTGAATAGTGGGTCTTACTAAAGTCAAACATCTGCCTAGATTTCAGAAGTCTGCCAACTTGCAGACTGCCCAACATGATGCTCTTATTGCCAATATATGAACATATATATACATGTAAAGATATCTATACATCTATATATCTATAGATATATATGTGTGTGTGTGTGTATATATATATATATAAAGAAAGATAAAAATATAAATAGGTACTAGATATCTCAAAGTAATAAAATCACTACCTCCAGGATGACCACTTACTAATAGGCTCCCCCCACCTGGCTGATTAAGGGATCACCTATACAACTCTTGGATGTAAAAAGCCTCAAAGTCCTGGCTCTATTATATGAACTTATCTGATTAGGTCTCCACTTGATTGCTCTGCAGTTTATTCTGTACAGTTTATACTTAATATTTTTCATTTTTTAATATATGAACAAAAGCTTACCTCTGAAGTTAAAAGTCCAAAGTTAATTCCAATTAAGGTTAACGCATTAACATTATACCATGTACTGATTTTATTTTCACAACCCTAAGGAAAAGAAGTTACTCACATTGACATGGAAATGGAAATGATCTTATATGTAAATCTTTACAAAAAACAAAAGGTAAACAGAGATTAGTAATTTACCAAAGTCTAAATAGTAAGTCAATATCTAACTGGAGACTGGACTTTTTAGTCCAGAAAGCTTTGTATGGCAGCAGGACATCTCAGCTGCTAATTTTAAAGGTGCTAAGATGTTATCATGTAATTAAAATCAGAATTTTTTTTACATTTTGGAAAGAGATTTTCTCTTCTGCAGACTACTGTAATTCATCAGGATAGAGGAATTTCTCCACTTACCCACCAGAAATTCCCCCAGTGGAGGCCTGAAACCACAGACAGTATCAAACCCTAAATATATTATGTTTCTTTCCTATAGAAACATATATATAATAGAGTTTAATTTATAAATTAAGCACAAGAGATTAACAACAATAACTAATAATAAAATAGAACAATTATAACAATATGCCAGCATTACTATTCTTACACTTTGGGGTCATCATTAAGTAAATTAAGGGTTCTTGAACACAGGCACTGTGATACCTCAACCGTCATTCTGATAATGAAGATGACTACTAAGTGACTAAGGGTGGGTAGCATCCGCACTGTGAATACACTGGACAAAGGGATGACTCATGTCCCAGGAGGGACAGGGCAGGAAGACACAAGATTTCATCATACTACTCAGAACAGTGTGCAATTTAAAACTTATGATTGTTTATTTCTGGAATTTTCCACTTAATATTTTCAATGGTTGAACTCTCAGAATGTGAAACTGCAGATAGGGGCAACTACTATATATACCACCACCTAAAATGGTTATTTCCCAAAGAGTAGATGCTTTTTTAAAAAAATGTAATATTCCATTTATTTATGAATTAATTATGCAATTGAAACAATATATCTTAAGATTAGAATAAGCTTAATATGTAAACTTTACAAAGTATTAGCAGTTCTTGGGATAGAAACATGTGTTATCAATGTCCCACACCTGTAAATCACAGTTGCTCCAGAGAACCCTTTACTCTTGCTTCTGCCACACTTACTTCAACCCGTCATTGCTGGGGTCCACTCCCTTCAGATTTTGCCTATCCTTTCACTCTGGTGTTATAGCTCCCTTTCCAATCTTATGCACCAAGGCTTTGACAAAAGTGCCTCCTCTTTCTGCAGGACCTCTCAAGGAAGGCGGGGGAGAAAGACTGATGATATCCCAAGTTCCAAGAATACATAAATCATATACTTCCAGGAAGTTTATTTACTTTATGTATTATACACTGGAAATAACACTACAATTTACCTAACTACGTGTTCAACTTAGGGAAGTAGATTAGGAATGTAGCCACCATCAACAACATTACTTTTATATCAAAATTTGCTCAGAATTCTAAATTGACTTGCAAAATAAACAAACAAAATACTATACATACTTGGAGAAGACTAGATTTATCTTTACCTCGAGGTAAGTTGCATTCAATGGCTCATCACAAAACCATTTTCTTAAAGTAGACTTTGTGCAAGAACATGGCACCTGTCCTGAATTTTCTTTGTTCTTATTCTTTATCCAGTCTGTGTAATTATGTTGGCCACAACACTGTAACTAGGAAAAAGCTTGTATGAATTTTACCATAAAATGTTCAAAATGCAGTTAATTATATGAGATTAATATTGAAGTGGTTTTTGTGAAGATAACTCATTAATTTTTCCCCATGAATATGTAATGAATTAAATAAATAAGTATATTTGTGTTTATTTAATTCATTACTTTGTTTCCGCTATTATTGTTGTTAACCATAGCAAAAGATTTCTGCTCACATTAGTGACTTGTGATTGGATAGAATTATTACATCTGAATTTTATCCAGGATAGAAGATATACTTGATATGCTTACATATAATGTTTATATATGGCTTAGGGCCATAATATAAAACAATCACCTGAGCCATATCTTGCTCCTAACTATAGCAGTTCTCTTTGTATTTAAAGCATATGCAGTCATACATGTTTGGTATACCTAAAAGGAGATTCAGGGTAATATCTGCTTTTCTAGGATTAATGTGAGATGTTAACTTTCAATTTTGTATTGTGTGAAAATTACCATAAAGAACCAAAAGAGGATAGTAAAAATAGTCATAAAATGATCCAACTTTTAAGAAATGTCTCATTTGCAGTGCTGATTCTGGAATCCTATGAAGCAGAGTTAGGAGGATATGAAAGAATCAGTTTACATATTTGTCACTTAGGAAATAAGAGAAAGGTGAAGTAATTGCTTTCTAAACTTTTATGGAAAATGATAACATTAGTACTGCCTATGTTTGCAATATATACCAACAATCTTTGCACAATTCCAGGAAATGCTGATAACTAAAATAGTGATTGAGAGTTAGGTTACTGAAAGTTAGCTTAAACAAACAAATCTACGTATATTATCTCAGTTATAGTAATGGCTAGGAACTGACAGCTGGAATTTCACTAATAGTAGTGATATGATATACAGAATTGTTTCCTCATCATTTTCTGACCATAGAAAGGTTCACTTCTCTACTGTAGGTTGTAATGCAGTCTGAAAATACAACACATGTACGGATCATATAGATAAGAGAAGACGACGATGAGTAAAAGTATTTGTAATTACATTTCGATTATCTTAAAATTTATTTCCATTACCATATGTACTAAAAATAACTATTTTTTATGTGAGGCATATAATATATCAGTAAAGAGTACAGAATCTAGTGTCAGATTGTGTGGGTTTGAATCTTGGCTCTGCCACTTATTAGATGTGCAATCCTCATTAAATTACTAAATTTCTCAGTTTTTCATCTATAAAATGAGGATAACAGTTCCTATGTTATAGGGTTGGGAGGATTGAATTAGCTAATATATGCAAAGCACTTACAGACAAGTCTGGGACTATGTAAATATTTGCTATTTTTTTAATTGGGCACTTACTATATTCCAGGTGCTGATCTATTTCTGTAAACCATTTGGCCAACAATACCCTTCTCTTACCCTTCCACTGCACCTATCCGGAAAAAACCTGCACTATGAAATAATAATCTTAAAAAATTAGCTAAAAAGTATTAGTTGCATTTATGCCCTGGATCCAGGCCTTTCTATATATTCTATATATTACTTCATTTATTCCTGCCAACCAGAGGTAGGGGTTAGTATGCTTATTTTACGAATGTGGAACTATGAGTTTAAGAGGGTTACTTGTCCAGAACCACAAAGCTACTGCACAGCCATCCTGGTATTCAGACTCAAAGGGTAACCACCATGCTGCCAGCAGAGGCTACTGCTTAGACTTATCTCCCATCAGGTGCAGCAGTATAGACTACCCCAGTTGGCAAAAGACCAGCAACACTTTTCCAGGTGAAACCAAGTTAAAATGCACATCAATTAACACAGGAGTTACAAAAGGCGGATATAACTCAAGATTTGTAAGTGGGGAGAATTGCCCTTTTTGCCCAGTTTGTTTGAAAGAAATACAACAAACTCTTATTCCTCTGCCCCACCCCCTGCCCTGACCTATTCTCTCTTCTGTCCCACAGTGATCAACACTGACATCTAATTTTTTAGTTAATTTCATCTTACTGTTTTCTGTAAAGCGTTTAGAATAGTCCACTTGGTTATATCTTCAGGCTTATCTTTAGATCCATACTCAGAAATGACAGAATCAATTTCGTCATGCCATAGTTGCTGAACCTGTAGAAAATTGTATTAAAAATGAAAATTTCATAGAAATGTATCCATAAAAATTTCATAGAAATTGATCGTTCCTCAAGAGTACCATCATGAAGAGATTATTCAATATTACTTTTCTGTTTTCTGTTTATTTCTTTTTAAAATAACTTTTTAACAATTTCAGTGGGTATCAAAGCATATGGCTTTTCAATTTGTAATCTATAGGAAGACTATATTAGGCTCATTTTACAATTAAGGAAGAAGTAATGTGCTATTCTCATGCATATCTAAGGGAAATTTCTTCTCAAACTCTCAGGAAAAACACTGTAAAAGTCTTTTAAATAAGCCAAAAAAGTTTGCTGAGTGTCTTTTCAATGGACACTAGGCTTTTTCTGGCAAACTTCAACATTCCTTGATTCTGTGAAGGTCTGTACTGTACTTTTCATGATTTATAATTTATTTTACAACTTTAGAAGTTGTTGAAAACTATGGTTATGCAAATTATACTTGGTCAGACAAATGTACGTTTTTCTCGGTGAAGGTATATTTCATTCCTTCTCTCTCCAAACCTGTTTTGGATCTATTAAGTGATGGCCTATGTAAATGTCCTCTTTGGATTCTCCTTTGAATTAATTTTTATATCGTACTGGTTCCCTCATTAATTAAGATGTCAAATAAAATAATTGACTTCTGAAATCTACTGCATATTTCCACAAAAATTATGATTTTTAAATTTTAAATATTATCCTTTTGTAATACTCTCAGGCCTCCGAATACGACACTCCAAAATATAGCACCTTTGTATGCTGAGTATTTTAAGCTCAAGGAAATTGAGAAAACTGCAGAAGCAGGAAGGTCACTTTCTGACCTTCTCCTGCCTTTCTTCCATGAGGCAGGTCATAAAAGAATTCTCACTGGCCGGGCGTGGTGGCTCACACCTGTAATCCCAGCACTTTGGGAGGCTGAGGCAGGCGTATCATGAGGTCAAGAGATCGAGACAATCCTTGCAAACATGGTGAAACTCCGTCTCTGCCAAAAATACAAAAACTAGTTGGGCATCGTGGTGCCTGTAATCCCAGCTACTTGGGAGACTGAGGCAGGAGAATCGCTTGAACTCGGGAGGCAGAGGTTGCAGTGAGCTGAGATGCACCACTGCACTCTAGCCTGGGTGACAGAGCGAGACTCCATCTCAAAAAAAAAAAAAAAAAAAAAAGAATTATCTGACCCATTTTCCCTGAAGGTATAGCATAAGATCCTCATTCCAGAGTGGTCCTGTCCTATACGCAGAAGCCAAGAAGCATCTGAACAGACAGGCCTTGCTAAATTTCTCCCAGTTTATTACCATTAGATTATATGCTTTTGTCCTCCACTCACACTTTCACATAACTATCCACAAAAATAGATTTCCTTGGATCTTTGAGTCTTTATTTTTTGGTTAAGTAAATTTGTTATGCTTTTCGTTTGTTAGTTTGTCTTTTGTTATAGGGATCTCGGCCAAGAACCTTGTGATGGATGAGGTATATAACTTTTTCTCTCCTACAATACTAACACAAAAATGATCAGATTTGGATGGGGATAAACAAAACTCTGCAATTTCAAAATCAAGGTAATGCAAAGGTAGAATGATTGTTGTAGTAACTTAAGCACTTACAAATTTATATAATTTTTTATAACAAATTACTAATTTGGTCCTCAATAATACCAAAAGGTAGGAAGAAAAGATATTATTATCATTTTATGAATGGGAATACAGACACTCAGAGAATTTAATTATTTACTTTTGTTTACAAGGAGACTTTAAATATGATCATTTGAGTACTAGTCTAATGATTTTTACTGAATTATGCTGTCTTTGACAATAAAAACTAAGTAACTGGTGGGAATATCACAATAATTATAAAAGGCATGTAAACTAAAATCTTACTTAGTTACTTATGTATCTGTATTTTAATACATTTAAGAAGATTAGAATAATGAAAAGGAGAAATTAAATCTATTTTATACTCTGTTCATTTTTATTTAGAATAAATAAAATATATAGTGCTGTTGGCAGTGTGTGTGGGGTGAAACTTATGGCCTTGTTTTGTTTCTAAAGCATTATTTGGGAGATCCAGAGTGCATATAAATGACAACTTCATACATAATTACTTTCATATGTAACCTATGTGACTATCGTATAAATAATAAAATTCCTTTATGCTTACTCAATTTGGTAAGCATCTATTAAAGGCCTAGTGTGTCTTCCACACTGAGTTAGGTACTGTAAATGACATAAAAGATTTAGAGGCTCTTAAGAACTTAATCTAGTTTGAATTCAGAACACAAATTGATGTAAACAAAGTTGTTAGCTCTGGGGTCAGCTAATGAGTATTTAAGTCTAGGCTCTGTCATTTGGCCATGAAATACTTTAACAAGCATTTCTAATCTCAAATCCTCAGTTTTCTCTTCTATAAAGTAGGACTTATGGTGCATCTCTAGGGGTTGCTATGAGGATTAATAATACAATGGCTATAGTGTTTATCACAGTCTCTGGCACATGGTAGTTATTAATCACTTCTTATTTCTAATATATAGAAAGATACAGGAGTCTATGCATAACATTGAAGCAAATATGGGTGACTGATAAACTATATTTACATGTTGATAGCTCTTATGTGTCATATTTATGTTCTATCATGAGGTTGAAAAGTTTGAGGATGATAGATTGGGATTTGGTGTTTTGCCAGCAAAACAGCTTTCCAAAACTTAACTGCTGCAGCCAACTTACCTTTAAAACTCCCATACACACACACACACACATATTTTAGATGTGGAGAAAAGTAATTTTAGCTCTAAATGCCAGGCCATTAACAGTAGGCACTGGATGATGAGCTGTCCAGTAAAGAATGAAGTTGGAGGGCAATGGTGTCATACAGGAAAGATATTTTTTTGAACTTTGGCCATTACAGAGGAGTATAGATAGATATAAAGAAAATCTAGGAACCATATAAGTTAATCAAGAGATCCCTCAAGGTTAATTAAGGTGAGGGAAGAGAACTCTTGAGTAGCTACTTTACAACTGAAACTTGACACATTGTCAATTAATGACAACTCTGTAACGTAGGTAAGTATTAATTATATTTTACAGATGAGGACATAGGCTCAGAGCTGTAAAGCAGGTTGTTGATCCTTAATCATATCCATATCTGTATGACTTCAAGTACATATTCATCTTACTATAGGACAATTAATCTCCCATAATACAAGACAGACCTTGACTGAACTGAAATACTGAAATGTCTTAAAGGATGAAAAGTAACTGTAGGTTGTAACAGGTAAGTTTTGTTGACCAAAAGTTTTTCCAGGCTTATTATATGCTGTTTTGAACTAAATTTGATAAATCTAAATCTTGCTCTAATTAATTTAATCACTCATCACTCTACCTGTGGAAAATACAGGAATTATTCAGTATGTCTTGTTTAAGTGAAATTGCTAAATTTCAAGTTAGTTGGAGTCTAAATTTGTTTCTTTGCAAAAATATAATACAGTGATTGGGTCAGTAGTGGTAGCCAGAGTTGGTAGGAGGAGAAGGTAAAAATTTGAACTTCTAAATCTCAGTACCACCTCCTCTTCCTCAATACTGTTTGATATTTAAAGCTACTTTCTAATCATATGTGAATGGAGTTAAAGGCAAGTTCCCCTATCTACCCTTTTCAATCTGACTCCTGGCCCCTTCCTATACTCTAGTACTTTCATTGAATATTATTTTCCCCTAAATAAATTTACCTTTGGCTTTTAATATAGGATCAATGGTCTCAATACTCTAAGGTATCCAATTTCCTTTAAACTTCAAATAACAGGATGTATTGATAAGGATTTACTTTCCATACCTCCTCTTTCTTTGTGAAGATGAATGCTGAAAGTACAACCTGAACACCAAAGACCCATGTTATCAATACTGCATACTAAAACAAAAGAAAAATAGAGATGATGACTATGCTACTAATATATATTTTGTATGCTCAAATAATAGGAAAACACACACCATTGGAAATATGCAACCATAAAGCATATATGGGTATTGCTGAGGCTTCCTGCCTTTACAAATATGAATGAAATTAGGGAAATAGCAAGGCAAAGTAAAAAACAAACGAACATTTGGGTAAGAGCAAGACAGAAACAAGTGATAGTAATTAATGAGCACCTTGGTCCAATAGAGTTGTCAATGATGCCATCTTAATTCAGTTATAAAACTATTATAGGGTAAATTTAATTATCTTCACCTCACATTATTTTGCTGAAACTAAAGACTCACTAAATTTCTGATATACTATTTAAACCCATGCAGAAAGTATAACAAAAGCAACTGCAATAATAAACTTAATTCTACATACATTTGGGCTATTTCTTGAAAATTAAAAATACTTGTATCCAAACCAAATAAAATAATTTTTTATATTTATTAGACTGTTTAATTTAAAAAAAAAATATACGGCCACTTTAGTCTTCTTCATAGCTATTGTCAACCTAAAAAAAGGCACAGAGGAAAATTATCTCTAAATATGTTGAGTTATTTAAGAATAAGAAATAAAGATTTATAGTCCAGATTGCATGAAATGGTAAACTACCAGTTCATTCTGTGAGGAGAGGGTAGAGAGAAGTATTTAGTAGCAAAAAGTGTGAGATTTACATAAACTGCTTAGAAACAGAGTTTATTGGTTCTAAAGATTCAAAGCCAGAGTTGTTGCCAGTTCACTGGTACAGATGCCATGACTGGTCAAGTGCTCCTCCAAGAACATCTTATCTGAATTACTGCAGTCCTAAGGAATATCAAGTCATAAACATTATAAAAGCAGGAGATGACTGAAGACAGTTTCCAGCTGGGAGTTTTCAGAAAGTCCTTAGAAACACTATTTATTTCAGACACGTAGCATGAGCCTCCTCTCCTTTAGACTTTCCTGGCTGTATTTTGTCTGGGTCTGACAAAAGTGATTTCCTGCTGGTATCAGCAACTTTTACACAGCACATATTAATATATAAGATTTAGAATTCAGCTGGGTGCTGTGGCTCACGGCTGTAATCCCGGCACTTTGGGAGGCCGAGGCGGGCAGATTCCTTCAGGTCAGGAGTTCAAGACCAGCCTGGCCCACATAGTAAAATCCTGTCTCTACTAAAAATACAAAAATTAGGCGGGCATGGTGGCTCGCACCTGTAATTCCAGCTACTTGGGAATCTGAGGCAGGGGAATCGCTTGAAGCTGGAAGGCGGAGGTTGCAGTGAGCCGAGATCGTGCTACTGCACTCCAACTTAGCGACAGAGCGAGATTCCATCTCAAAAAAAAGAAAAAAGGAAAAAAAAAAGATTTAGAATTCATAATAATTTTAAAAGTAAGAGGTCTGAGTATTTACTAGGCAAAATATAAGTACTAATGACTTACTGTATTATTTATTTACTTTTTACTTGGCCCTCACAGAGATAAAAATTATTTAATTACACATATTTTATACATTTAATACCTTAAAATATCAGACCAAAATTTTCTTCTTAGCATAAGTTATGTTTCCTAGTTTCAGAGAAAAATAATTCAGAGACAAAAACGTGCTCTTTACATCTATTTAGATGTTTAGATTTTTAACTTCTACATGCAATTTCTCACTTAATCTTATACTAATAAGGGATTGGGAACAGCAGGAAAAATTGTATGAAACCTTTTTAGTTTTTTGAGATGGAGTCTGCTCTGTGGCCCAGGCTGGAGTGCAGTGACGCAATCTCTGCTCACTGCAACCTTCGCCTCCTGGGTTCAAGCGATTCTCGTGCCTCAGCCTCCCTAGTAGCTGGGATTACCCGTGCCCAGCACCACACCAGGCTGATTTTTGTGTTTTTAGTAGAGATGGGGTTTCACCATGGTGGCTGGGCTGGTCTCCAACTTCTGACCTCAGGTGATCTGCCCACCTTGGCCTTCCAAAATTGTTGGGATTACAGCTGTGAGCCATCTTAGATTAGAGTAGGAGTATGTAAAATCACCTTTAAGCCATGGAATAGCTTTTTTTCTTTTGAAGGAGTTTCGCTGTTTTTGCCCAGGCCGGAGTGCAATGGAGTGATCTCGGCTCACTGCCACCTCTGCCTCCTGGGTTCAAGTGATTCTCCTGCTTCAGCCTCCCAAGTAGCTGGGATTACAGGTGCCTGCCACCATGCCCGGCTAATTTTTTGTATTTTTAGTAGAGACGGGGTTTCACCATGTTGGCCAGGATGGTCTCGATCTCTTGACTTCGTGATCTGCCCGCCTCGGCCTCCCAAAGTGCTGGGATTACAGGCGTGAACCACTGTGCCCGGCCCAAGACATGGAATAGCTTTTAGGCCTGTAATATTTGCCCATAAGTTGACTGTGTGAATTAATTTGGTTCAGAGAAAAATAGATTCATCAGAAAAATACTGGTAAATTTAGAGTGTCACAATGGCCAAATTAGCAGTACCCTTCCATGGAATGTCTAGAAGGAATGGTGGTATCTTGGTTCCAGGCCCTAATCTGTCAGATCCTATGTTCATGTGTATCCTTATGATGATATCTATCAGGCTTTCTCATTCAGATGCCATTAATATTTGGATTATATGAGGCAGAAACTCAGGAAATGTCTGTTTTTCTCCCTCTACTTTCCCCCTTCCTTTCCTATCCTCTACCCCCTACATTGTAACATTGTATAAGTAGTAGACTCTGCATTTCCTTTGCCTACATGGAAATTTGTGACAAGAAGAAAAAATCAAGATTTTCTTGCAAGCCATTTCTGTCCTGGTTTTTATACCCCAAATCTGAAGCTCAGTGAGAAAATTATGCTAAGGATCTTGGAAAGAGAGAAAGATAAGATTTGAGAAGAAAGGGTTGGCCTTGGAGGAGAATAAGAGGAGAGAGTAAAGTCTCTTCTTAGACTAAAAAGATTTTGAGGTGGAATCTGGATGTCTGTGGGTTTTCAGAGCAATAGCATAGTCCTTGGAATCCTGGCACTGCCCTGGTAACGTGGTAAAACCCCAGACGGAAATCAGGGTCCATATCTAAAGTGCCTGTGCCAGGGTAATATTCAAATAATAGTAGAAATTACTATTAATAGGCAGCAACTGATTCCTATGCTAGGTGTACCTCCTAATTGCTGTGTCACTAGGGAGGCTCACTGTCTCAGGGAAGGAAGACTGAAAGAATGGAACTGAGGTACTGGTTATTTACCAATATTTCACAAAAGGGTTTCACTGGTATGCCTGTACTGGTAAATACTGGATGAATAGCAGCCCTACCTTTGCCACCCATGCCTTTCAAAGAGCAGAGTGGGTACACCTGAAGGGACCTTGTGACCTGGGAAAGTGAGTGTGTTTGTGGTAGGTGGCGTAGACTGGTAACTAGTGTCCAGGGTGACCACCCAGATGTTCAGTGCTCCATAAAAGTTCAGTGTCTCTGCATTCTTCCTGGTAAGGGACAAAATGTCAGCAGCTGAACTTCCTATCTGCTTGGCTGCAAATTAAAATCAATTTGATTTAGAGAAAAATGTAAAGGCTATATTTCATCTGAGTATGTGAACTGCGATCCATAACTGCCACATGTATGGTCATTGGCTCATGTCCAGGTCAGTACTCTGGAATATAATTTGTCTTTTCACATTACAAGCCTTGAGAGAAATAGTGCACAAGCCAGATGCTACAGTCTGCCTCTTTCAGTAATTATAGTTCTCTTTTAAAAATAACAATTTGTGATCTCAATTGTAAGTTACCTTTCATGGCAATGATAGACACTATTATTAAAGAGGGGAGGAGAAGAGTGGGGCAAGGGTTGAAAAAGTAACTGCTGGTTACTGTGCTCACTCAGTAGCTGGGTGACAGGATCAATCGAACTCCAAACCTCAGCATCATGCAATATACCCATGTAATAAACTTTCACGTGTACCCTGAATATACAATAAAAGTTGAAATTATAACAAAATACATACATACGTAAGTTACCTTTCTTCGTGCCATGCCCACAAAGATAAAAATGTGCTGACTATAGATCATGTTTCTTTTACCCTGGTAAGCTACATTGCTCATTGACTTAAATGCACTTTATTCTAATTCTAGCCTTCGGATTCTTAAGTTTGGTGAATTGTAGTTCACCCTAAGAGACAGAGAGTCCTATTGACTCTGTGTTGAAAAGTAAATGTCCGAATGTGCTGAGGTACAGATTCGGTTCATAGAAAACTCACTAAGAAAGTCCTTTCTGGAAAAGTGACTTTGTTGGAGGGAGGAGGGTGTGCTTCATTTGAATTGCTCTAAGGACATACTCTACTGCAGTGCCATGGTAATGTAAATCACTATTCATTTGTGTAACTTAGATACTTAAAAATCTGAGATAAAAATTCAAGCTATTGATGTGAAATACATACCACAATTAGAAGCCATCTGATTTCGTTGTGAATTCCTATATAACCCAATAGACAAAAAAGAACAGTAGAAGACCCCATTCCAATCAAAATTTGAGAAATAGATACTATGAAGTGATTATTTTCATCTGTGAAAAGAACAAAATTACTTATTATGAAGTGGTATTTTTATATGAAGTGGTATTTTATTTTCTATTTAACAATAATTACAGCAACCAAAAGTTTTTCTGAGCAGCTGTTGCCAGACCACCAGGATTCTCTCTCTATCCCTCTGTCTCTCTTTCTCTCTCTATCCCTCTGTCTCTCTTTCTCTCTTTCTCTGTCTCTCAATTTTTGACCTCATGTACCAGCTCTTACTTTTAGAAACAACTCTTCTTCCTTTTCTGACATGAAGAGAATTTCTTAAATTTCAGATATCTTTACCCTTATCCTCCTTGTCTTTTATGATAGAAGAAATTTTTTTCTAAGATTTCATCTATGTCTAATGTATATTCAAACATTCATGTGTTCATTCATTCATCAAAAATCTTTAGAACCTAATATGTGTGAGTTAGATGTATACACCCTGAATTTATTGCTAATATGAGCCCTTTCAAACTATATTTTAATTTTCCCCATCTAGACTGTGAGCCCTCAGTGCTAGATATTATATATATTTATCCAGTCAACAGGCTGCCTGTTGAATGCTTGGTGCTGAACAAACAGCAGAACAGTAAATGCTCAACAAATAATTGTTTTAAAAAAGAAGGATGGATAAATGAATTAAATATGTGGGAGATGTTATGGGAGAACAGTGTAGGCAGTGGTGTGCTGGAGTGAGCTTGTATTGGCTCATAAAAGCCAATTGTGGTATTTTCAGGAAATCTGCAAACCAACTGAATTCACTTTGACACCTTGAAATTGGCCATTGAGGAACTGCTTCTATCATGTCAATCATGCACTATATACATTAAAACATTGTAAACTACAGTATGTTTAAAAGTATAGTGCTAGTTAGAATTAAAACAATGAGAAGAGAAAAGAGAAACCATCTTCCTCCTAAAATCTCCCAGTGTTCTTCTTCTCAGTTTAAGGAGTCACTACAAGTTATATCTTCTACCTATGCATTGAATTCTCACAATTTTTATAGTGATCAGATCAGAGTAATTAGCATATCCATTCATCTCAAATATGTATCATTTTTGTGTGTTGGGAATAATCAATATTCTTCTAGCTATTTGTGACTGTGTAATACATTATTGTTAACTACAGTCATCCTACAGTAGTATAGAACACTAGAACTTTTTTCTTCTATCTAGCGGTAATTTTGTATCCTTTAACAAATCTCTGCAACTGATGAAGACTTTCAGAGGGAATGCTAGACAACACTTGATAAATTCCAGAGAAATACTGCCACCTGCTGAATAAATTGTGTATACAACTGTTTAAAATGGAATGTCTGTTTCACTGAGAGATAAACAAAAATAGATACATACCAAAAGCTGTTAAAAAATTATTTCTATCTAATAAAAGCCATGCACCAAATCCCATGAATAAAAGTCCAAGAACCTAAAAAAAGAAAGTCAATGCTTATTTTTTGTAATTGCCTATACAATAGATTACATTTTTTTTACTATATAATTATGAAGAGCCTTACCATGAAAGCTCCATTAATGAGATTAAGAAAGTACTTAATAATTATTGTTTTGTCATTTCTTAACATTCTTTTTCTTCCAAGATATTGATGATTCTGAAAAGACAACCATAACTTTTTTATAAACATTCTACACAATAACTTTAAATATTTCGCCCTACTTATGTTCTATATTTGCACATTTTTCTTCTCAAATCAGTTATCAGTATAACATACTCCCATCTCTAAATGAAAGAACATATTGAAGGTATCTTGAAACTGTACATTGTCTGCATTTTTTTTACTACACAGTATCTGTACTTAAAATAATAAATATATATCTGCAGTGCTTTTACTAGGCAATCAAGACTAAGAAGACAGTTGTATAACAAGTCAAGCAGCCTTACTGAACTTCTTGCAGTTTCAGAAAGCATAAGATATTTTGTTTTCAGTTTTATTGTATTTTTAAATGTTTATTTTAATCCTAACCATTAGATGGCCAGGAAATTTTCCAGTCTTAATATACCTTGTTCCCCTGGCTGGCAAGTTTTCCTCACTTCTGCATGCCCCTTCTCAGAATAATTTTAGCTCCTCACTGAGGTGTTGGTTTGGGGATCTTTTTTTTTTTTTTTTTTTTTTTTTTTGAGACAGAGTCTCGCTCTGTCGCCCAGGCTGGAGTGCAGTGGCCAGATCTCAGCTCACTGCAAGCTCCGCCTCCGGGTTCACGCCATTCTCCTGCCTCAGCCTCCCGAGTAGCTGGGACTACAGGCGCCCGCCATCTCGCCCGGCTAGTTTTTTGTATTTTTTAGTAGAGACGGGGTTTCACCGTGTTCGCCAGGATGGTCTTGATCTCCTGACCTCGTGATCCGCCCGTCTCGGCCTCCCAAAGTGCTGGGATTACAGGCTTGAGCCACCGCGCCCGGCCAGGGGATCTTTATCTTAAGCCAATTTGTTGCCTTTCAAATTTCTCATTGACCTGTCTTCTTCCCCACAGAGAGTCAGGGATATTTAAGTGGCGAGAGTATGTCTTACATACCAATATAACCTCCAGATTTAGCACACAGTAGGTACTTGATATATATTTGTTGAACGCATGAATGGATACATGAATTAAATTACTTAATCTATAATTTAATTTGGTATGCAGTATATATATATATATAAAACTTATATATAAAGTAGCTTTCATTAAAACTTATTTTCCAGATAGCCAATTTTCCTAAAACTTTCATGGAAAAATCAATACTTACTCCACTGGTTTTTGGTGCTGTTTAGTAGAGATGAAAGTTTCAAATCTAATCTTGACTATGTTCCCAGATTTTCTCTTTTCTCTTCTCATTGTTTTAATTCTAACTAGCATTATACTTTTAAACATACTGTAGTTTACAATGTTTTAATATATATAGTGCATGATTGACATAATAGAAACAGATTTAATAAGATTATTTTAAAGCTATTTGTCTGTCCCTAATTAGGCAGAAACCAATTTGTCGAACTGAAGGATGCTCTGAAAAGTGGAAAAATAAGAGATGTCTACGTTAGTCTATGTAGTACCTCCCTACTTTATTATAAACCATCTTCCTCCTAAAATCTCCCGGTGTTCTTCTTCTCTGTTTAAGGAGACACTACAGGTTATATCTTCTACCTATGCTTTGAATTGTCTTGCTGTCATTTGGTTTTTCTACTTTGCATCCTATTGTCTTATTCCTTCATTCCTCTAATGCCTGGCATGTTTTGATGGTACACTCAGTTGGAAAGACTGCCTGATTTTTATTTCAGTTTATTTCAAAGATGCTATAAATCTACATTTTTGGTTCCAATTCTATTGACTGTCACATGTGGAAAGCTCCCTCACAGCCTGAACGAGAAGATAGGCACAAGGTCTTGGCCCCTGTCTGTGAACAAGAAATAGAATGGAGACTAATGAACCAGAAAGCTCTGTAGTAACTCTGATGTGAAATGTTGAAGGCATGGACTTGAGTGTTGATGTGGTAATAGTTAGCATGTTAGGCAGGGTCAAGCTGCAACGCTTTATCAAAGGACCCAAATACAGAAATAAACTTTTATTTATCTCTTAGTTCAAAGTAGGTGATTGGTTCGCTTCTAGGAAATCATTTTAGAAACTTGGAGCTAACTCTGGCCTATTCAACATGTGGCTTCCAAATTGGCCCCAGGTGCCATCTTTTATAGCTCACAGAAAGGAAAGGGGATAAGTAAACTCAGGCAGGCATCTTTTAAGCAAATGAGGTTGAAGTTGTACACTTCTCTTCTGTTTATATTCCACCAGCACAGACTTGGTCCCACAGCAATACTCAACTTCAGTTGAAGGCAACCATGTACCCAGGATAAAGAAAAGAAAATAGATAGGGTGGTGAGGGCCAAACAAAATGCCCACCTGTCAGAAAAGGCCAATTACAAAAGATAATTAGGAAAAAAAGAGAGCTTGGATTAAACTTTAATATGCTTTACTGTGGAAAAGAATCAAAGACAATCAGGAAGATTCCTGTTCATTAGGATGGGAAAATAAAAGAATAATGGTAATCACTAGAAATTTAAAATTTAAAAATTGGGGAAAATGGTTTAGAAGAAAAATTCATAAAATTCAATATTTCATGATAGAATTTGAAGTGGTAAAGGATATCTGTCAGTTATGTCTCATAAGCACTGTGAATGGAGTACAGATAAATGGGTAGCATAGCTGTACAGACTTGAAAGTCATTTATAGAGAACCAATTTCATGGGTGTGAATGAAGAGAAGATACATTGTCTATAGATGGAAATGGGCAGAGGTTTGATGGTAGAGAGTGAAATGATACAATTAAGAATTTGGAATTTTTAAAGCCGACTTTTATAGAAGTCAAAAGGGGTGAGAACTTAGTAAGCTCAAAGGTAGGCAACGTGGTAAGGAAGATGTTTATGGTAATTTCAAAACTGTGGTTCAAGGTTTACCAAGTTAAAACACAACAAACTGTGCATCCAAGCAACGATTCAAAGAAGCCTATGACTATGTTTACAAAGAATGGTAAAATGAGATGGTCATGTGTTGGCTTTTTCAGCCATAAGCTCCACATACTGGAAACAACGTCAATGAGAATAATGATGTGCCAACACAAAGATACACAATAAGTTAAGTGTAGTTCTTATTTAAATATTTGTAGTGTGAAAGGTCTATATTTTCTTTTGCTATAAACAAAGAATTTGTTTCTAACCTAATTAAATAAGGTCCAGGTGTGGCATTGATTTTGTTCAGTTCCTGACTAGTTAATTGATGTTGAAAGTTCAACAGCAGAGATGCTATAGGAATGGACAACTTACAATAATTAATCTATTTATAAGTGTTATTTTTTACTAGTTTAATAAACTCTAATTACTTCTTGTTATTGTTTTTATGTTCTAAGTTCCAACAGATGGGAACACACAAATGAACAAGAGAAAGTCAAAGAGTCAAATATTAAAACCTGCAGCTGACTCTGAATTATGTGTTGAGGTGGAAACAGGAAATAAGGAAATAGGAAAGTTTCATAGAGAAGATGATTTTGAGATGACTCTTGAAGGAGGATTAAGGTCTTAGACAAAAAAGGGAGAGAAACAGGAAATATTCAAGACGGGGGGACACTATGTTCACAAACTTTACAATGAGGTGTAAGGAGGCATCGATCAGAGTGGCAAGAGATGAGAGACAAAGCTAAAGAAGTAGACTCAGTAGAGATTGTGACAAATCTTGTATGCTTTACTAAAGATTTTTTTTTTTTTCCTGAAGGTAATAGGGAGCCATAATTCTGGCCTCAATGTGGAAGCCAAATTAGAAAAGACACTTAAGATAGGGGGATCATTTATAAAGTTAATGCACTAATTCACAAGAGAAAAATGTGGTCTAAACTGCAAAATGGCTGTGGAAATGGAAACAGTATCACAATATGAGAGATGTAGTAGGAAGTAGAATCGCCAGCACTGGGATAACCAAAGAATCAAAGATGGAATTTAAGTCTGTAGAAACTATGTAATCAAACTCTGAACAGTATCTCATATTCTACAATGTTTCATTTAAATTGATTCCCTTTATCATCGATATTTTGCAAATGCTATTATCCCCAATATCACCAACGAGGAGAGAAAGAATCAGGAATGCAAAATTACTTGCTAAAGATCGCTCAGTTAATAAATGGCAGAGATGAGATTTAAATCCATAGATATAAACCACCCTCTCAGTAACTTTCCCAAGCCCCAGTGTCATCATCTGTAAATGCAGATTACAATTGTCACGCCTCAAAGGAACCTTGTGAAAATCAGATGAGATTGCCGGGCGCGGTGGCTGGCGCCTGTAATCCCAGCACTTTGGAAGGCCGAGGCGGGAGGGTAACGAGGTAATCGAGACCTTTCTGGCCAACAGGGTGAAACCCAGTCTCTACTAAAAGTACATGGGCATGGTGGCGGGTGCCTGTAGTCCCAGCTACTCGGGGGGCTGAGGCAGGAGAATGGTTTGAACCCAGGGGCCGGAGCTTGCAGTGAGCCGAGATCATGCCACTGCACTCCAGCCTGGCCACAGAGCGAGACTCCGTAAAAAAAAAAAAAAAAAAAAAGAAAAGAAAAGAAAAAGAAAGAAAGAGAGAGAGAAAGAAAATTAGATGAGATTATGTTTGTAAAGCACTTAGTCCAGTGCCTGGCTAGATGTTAGTTATCTCATTATATCATATGGTTAGAATCTCGTTATATCATATCTCAGTATAGAAATACTAAGATTATACAAGAGTCATGCATGTGAGGATGGGCAATGGGATGGAAACTGTGGAAAAGTGATAAATTCTCACTTTTCTGTGAAGTGGTGGTCACTGACACCAGCTGGGAGGGAGCACAAAGAGAGTTAGAATCTGAAGGCTTGAGACACACTTTAAGTGGAACAAGATAATGAGAGGTCTAAGAATACAATATGTGGTACTATGAGCTACATAGTAAAGTAGTTTTACTCAATACTCACCATGCCTCAAGAAAATAAAACAAAGAAATACAGGCTATGCAGCTATTTTGAACACAACAATGATATTCTGGGATAAAAATTATATCACTGCCATATGAAGAATAAAGCAGTTGTTGAAAAATGCTATTAAACTAAAATGATTTCATTACTCAATATTTTCAAAGGAATTATTAGTCTTGTGAGATAACAAAGAACAAACACTTATCTCTTATTCTTTCATTCTCTCAACAAATATTTATTATGTACTCTCTAAAGGAAATATGCATTGTTGAGCCAATATGCTATAAATCAACCACACCTACAATTTTTTTAAAAATTTAAATGAAATGAAGTTAACAGGTTCAAAAGAAACAAAAGTCTACTCAGGTTAAAGGGTCATAGGCAAACTAACATACTCAATCTGAAGTTACCATTTCTAGGAATAATGCAGTTTAAATGGACTTCTGCTAAATACTACATGGTTGATAAACAATAGTGCCAAGTTAAATTTACTTATAATCTACAAATGTTTTAGATAATTGCTGCCTTTTGTTTTTGATTAGTAATATTCTAGTGAAATTATGACTAGTTGATAAAGTTGTCTTTTCTTCCAAAGTAAAAAATTGCATGGCAATATAAGAGATCTATTACTATGAATTAATTTATCTTCAGAAAAACTTAGTGTTTTTCTTTTTTGCTGTCAATATTTGACAAGGTAAGTTTTGAGAAGGAAAGGAACTAAGGCACTATTTCCAAAATTATTTGATTATGAAAACTAGTTATTCAAAATTAGTTTTGAAATTGATTATTAAAGGATTTCTATTTTTTAGAAGTATGGATACTTTTGTAATCAAAAATAAAACTAATCTTAAGATTCTTACATGTGAACTTCAACACAATATGAAAGTCTATCTTAAATGAAGAGTCTGAGGTTCCAACACAGTAGCTCATACCTATAATCCCAGTGCTTTGGAAGGCCAAAGTGGGAGGATCACTTGAATCCAGGAGTTGGAGGCTACAGTGAGCTATAATTGTACCACTGCACTCCAGTCTGGGCAATAGAGGGAGACCCTGTCTCTAAAAAAAAGACAACAAAACATAGATAATTTCAATAGTCTATGAATTGGCAATAAAACCAAACTTAAAAAAAAAAGAACAAATTCCATTTGAGCACGGACTTTGATAATGAAAATGCTCTGGATTTAATTAGACCTGAAACCAAGTGTAGTTTAAATTATCTTTCCTGAAAAGGACACTAACATGTGTGCTTTTAATATGAAAGTCTATTAACTTCTCACTTTATATTATTAGTTCTAATGTTGATGCAATTCAAGTTTATTGTTACCAGGAAATGTAGTCTATTTTTTTTTTTTTCCAGAGGCTCAATGAAATATTTGCTTTTAGCTTATTTTATAGCAGATACCTTTTACAATTATGGCTACTTCCTTTTAGAATTTAATGCCTTGTTTGCAAACTTTAAAAGAAAATTAAAGTCAAGAATATGTTATTAATTAAAATATTATTTTGTACCCTATATATTTGCTCCACATTAAATAGCATGACATAAACTTAGAAATTAAGGTTTTATATTGAAATACTGTCTGCCAATAGTTTTACAGTAAAATAACTCCAGAAAATAATTTTTCAAATTTTTCACCCACATCCCTTCAGTTAAGAGGTTTTTGATGGACATTGATTGATTTTTTTTCTTTTTTCTTTTCTTGTTTTTCTTTTTAAAGAAACTGTTGTTATGTAAGGCAAACAACTTATTGACTTCTCTTCCATACTCCTAGGTCCCACAAATCACTGTTCAGGATTAAGGTTTTGTGGAATGAACACCTTATACATGGGCAAATCACCAGATTGAAATATAAATATATGTAGCTCAGAAACAATTTAAACAATTTAAAAGTGAGGTTACATCTACTTGGGTAATTATAACAAAATTTCATTTTATTAAATATTTTCCGAAAGTATTTAAATATTAAAATCTACCTGTAAAAAAATGTAAGCTCTTCATCCAGTCCTTGAAATGCTGCGTTCGTTTCAATTTAGAATCCAGATTTTTTTGTCCTTTTGGAGCACCTGTAGGGAAAAACCGGACTCTCTTCCTTGGGATTGGCTGTTGCCATGGATACGCTTTGTGTAGCGTCTATGGGCGCTGTCTTACAACCAAGCCGAGGAATCTCGCTGCTGAAGGGTGAGCCGGGGCCTCAAGGCAGGGATTCCTGTTGGGGGAGGTGAAACAGCTGTGGGAACTCAGGTCGAGCCGGGACACTCTCTGCCTGGCCAGACTTCCAGGAAAGGGAGAGACCGCGGGTCGGGAGATGGCTGTGTGGCTCTAAGAAGCTCGAGGCTCCCTTGGGGAGCTCCTTCAAAACTTAAAGAGATGCTTTGGCTAGATAGGGACGTTCGATGGTTAGTCACTCACTGCTCCCCACAAACCATTCTTTCCTTCCTTCCTTCCCTTCTTGTCTCCCTCCTTTCCACCCATTCTTTTTCTGTTCTTTCTTTCTTTCTTTCTTTCTTTCTTTCCTTTCTTTTCTTTCTTTCTTTCTTTCTTTCTTTCTTTCTTTCTTTCTTTCTTTCTTTCTTTCTTTCTTTCTTTCTTTCTTTCTTTCTTTCTGTCTTTCTTTCATTCTTTCTTTCTTTTGGTAATATATAATTTATATGAACCTTATAAAGTAGATTTCTCTCCTTTTTCTTTACAGGGGTTGAAGGTTGGAGTTCCTTAAGCTTTTCTACTTTTGACAGCTTTAGTGAACTCCAAACGATTCGTTATCAAGTTAGAGCACTTTAATGCAGCCTATTTACAGTGAGACCCATCTGTGACTGCACGTCATATACAGTAACCACTAACTACAGGTGGCTACTGAGGACTTGAAATGCAGCTAATCCTGAGATATGCTGCAGGTGTAAAACACACAACAGATTTCTAAGAATTACTGTCCAAAGAAAGAATATAAACTCTTTGCCATGATATTAATAATTAATTTTGTGATTACACGTTGAAATATTTTGGATATGTTGGGTTAAATAAAATATATTGTAAAAATTAACTACTTGATTCTCTTTTGTTTTTAAAAAGTTGCTAATAGAAAATTTAAACTTGCGTAAGTGCTCAAATACGTAATTGGACAGGGGTGATCTAATGAGCTAGTAGACGAATAGAGAGGGTCATGGTAAAGGAAATGACTCTTACCTCCACCATACTCTCCTGCCTCTCTTTCTACGTAAAGTTTATTATACCTGTGCATTTTGCTTTGTAGGCATAGAAAAAAAATTCTAACTTTCCTTCTAGTAAAGCCTTTTAAATGCACTTTGAGTTCCATTGCAGGATAATATTTTGCCCTGGTTCTGTTTGGAGTTTCATTTCATTTTGTTTTCCTTTTCTTTTCTTTCTTTCTTATTTTATTTTATTTTTTATTTTTGAGTGAGTGAGGGAGAAGGTTGTCGGTAGAGTTGATTTTGAGATGATTGAATAGAGTGAAAGGAGGAATTAACGAAAGGGAAAGAGGATGGAAAGAAGGAATGAAGAAAAGAACAAGAAGATAGGTGGGAAGGTCAGGCTCTTGAGGAAAGAAAAAAAAAAAAAGTTTAAAGTAGTGTCACGAAAAATAAAACGATAGCTGACTAGTATGTTTTCAAACCTTTTTTGGGATTAAGACCAACAGTGAAAAATAAAAAAACCCCAGAACATTAATAAAAACACATATTACATTGCAACTCATGCATACATACATACATTTATATGTATTAATCACTGAAACAAAAATTTTATAAACAATTCTGATCTTTATTATATATAGTGCAATTATATAAACATATAAATCAAGAGTATTACGGTACAGTTACAGTTGATCATTTTGTAGTCAAATTTTGAAAAGAATGATTGAAGAGATAAAACAATGTTTGGTGTAACCATAAGAAGGTGTGATAAAATTTTGTTAAATTAAAACATGTTTAAATAAATATGTTGGATTGGTATGACAAATTAGAGAACACATAAGTTTTAGCGACATATTAGCCTCTTCATTTTTAAAAGCAGTTCTGTGCTTTATTATGAAGAATAATGGACGATGATGATGCAAAGCTCAAAGCAGAAATAGAAGCTGAATTGGATAAACTCAGCATTTCCTCCTTGGAAAAAGAGGACATTGAGAGTGATTCAAAATCAGAAACCCAGAGTGATGATAGTGATACAGTAAGTATTGCACTTTTGAGCCCTTTAACAGGAGTAGGCTTTTCAGGAGAAATATTACTTTCTTAGGATATTTTTATATACTTCTCATTTTTAGCAGCATTGTTATAAACAATTTATATAAATATAAATTATATTTAATATAGTCACATATCTTCATAAAATTGGGATTATTATTATATATATTTGTATCCTGATTTTTGTTTTTACTTGTGAACATTTTAGCATGATTAAATTACATAGGAAGAAAAATGTATGTGAAATCTTTTGACATATCAAAATGGTTACTTTTGGGAATAAAACAAATTATCCTTTTATTTGTGTATTTTTACCAATGTTTATATGCTTACAGAGTTCATTCATGGATTTATTCATTTATACCAATATCCTTAATCCAACTGGAATTTATTTTCAGGAATGTTATGAAATGTAGAACTAATTTGAAAATCTCCTGCACATATTGAGCTAATTTTTCCAGTGTCTTTTGTTTAATAATCCACCTTTTCTCAATTGATTTGTCATTTGTCTTATTGATAGTTATTGTACATATGATCTATCCAAGGCTGTCTATTCTTTTCCATTACTTTGTTTATTATTTTCTTACTGTTGTATATTTTTAAATATTGAATGGTTCAAATTCTTCACATTGTTTTATTATTTTCAGATCTTAACTAAGCTTTTTTTAAAAAAGAAAATTTTTTAAAGATTTCAGAACTTTGTATTTTATTAGGATTGCACTAAACCTACCCATTACATTTAGAGAAATTAATATTGTTACATTATTATGTCTTTTATCCAGAGCTAATTTAAATGAGACAAAAAAATCTGAAATTTTTATTTGAATATGAAATCTAACAGAATAGTGGACTGTATTATGTTATACCTTTTTATATAAAGGAAGAAGAAAATTTTAAAGCCCTTCTATTTCAATTAAGATACCTCACTATTATTTATATCACTTAGAATCAATGTAAGTATTATTACCAGGGGAAAAAATTATTAACTAAGGATTTAAGATTATGAACTATATTTCCCAGGACATAACAACAATCTCTATAATCCAGGTCGTTTCATTTGAAATGCTTCTTAGTTAAACAAGAAATAGAAATCTCAATGCAGGACAGATGTCAGAAAAATAGAATTGATATTTTTGTCACTATTTTTAATACACTACTTTATCAGGACTCATTTTATGACATATAATTTTACATGCTTTTCTGTAGTACTAAGAGAAAGGTAATATTTTCTCATTATCTTCTGATGTTCATTCTCAAAACTAAACACTGAATTTCATTAATTAGGATGGAGAAAATAAAGCTGGCTATAAATCCTAAATTCAACACATGAAAACCCAGTATGGCAGACAATATTTATTTTTAATTAAATGAAAGCAGGTGCATATCATGTTCTTCTATATAGAAACATTTATATTGTTTCATTTATGCTATGCTTGAAGTCCCTCAAGGAAGTGTTGTCATCATGTAGATATATGTAACTTCAAGATTATTATTAAAATTGGTCATAGATGCTTCAAGTATTTTGTTGTTATGAATATTATTTATTTGCATTATATTTTCTAACTAGTTACGGTGTTATTGGAGGAAGGAATTTAATTTTCACATTTTGCATATCAATATATTTAGCTATTTAGAAAATTTACAAATCGATTTATATAGGCTGTATTGATAGATATTTTATAACAGTTCACAAATGTGACTAAGTTTGTGTATGATAATCACAAAGCCAGTTTTGAATGGAATAAATAATTATATCAGGTATTAGTTTGACATTAAATATTTTGAAAAAATAATCTTGCAGCTTTGATTAATATTTGATACAATTTACTTGAAGTTGGAATTAATCTAAAAATATATACAACTATTGAGGGCATTCAAAAATAAACAGCCTCTAATAAAGTTAACAGAAGTGATATGTAGGTAACTCTTTTCATTTGTTTTCTTAGAGTTTTCTAGAAATGCACAACCACCTGAAAATTAAAAGCAAACTTTAGCCAAATATATTTGTCTGAACTATGCTGCTTGTATGGAACCCTTTTACTTCATTTACATGTTTTGTTCACATTTTTGATGTGGAATGAAGCGTCCAAAATTTGACACATAATTTTGATAATAAACACTTTCACAGTTTCTTGTATTATTAAAATTTTTAGGATTCGGTTGAATTACCAGAATCAGTTCTTCGTTGTATTAACATCATAAAGAACAGGAGTAAAGCTGTTGAAGAGCTCATTCTTCAGGACCTGGAAGATACTGGTATTTTAAGTAAGTACTGTTTTCATCTGTCTGGCAGATAAGCTTTCTGTACATATGAACAAATTATAATTTAGTAAACTCAATTGCTTATAGTTCTTATCTCTTACTGTGCACATGTGTATACATTTAGTGTATTTCTAATATATCTACTGTATATTGGACTGTTGGATTTAGTTCATACATTTTTTTTTTTTTTTTTACTATCTTTCTTAGGTCTTCAGAAAATACCATCAGCATTTTGTTTCCGCAGTTCTAATTAATACCAGACATCCTTTTATTTTATATTAAAGAAAATAAAACTAATCAATAGACTGTTTTAGCAGTATCAGTATATACATCATTTTTTGGGAAAAATACAATCATTTGATTGAAAAGCCCAACAGTATGTTTCTTGAACTGTGCCAATTTGCTTCTTGGAATTGTTGTAAGACTAATGGAAAAATCGAAGATTTAATTAGAATTAATCTTGGCTTGGTTTATAATGAGAAATGGCAGCATTCTAAATGTTCAACAAGACCTTTTTTGTTGAATAATATACCTATTTTTAAAAATGACTTAGACAAATATTTAATGGAAAAAATATTCATGAT